TAATAATAATAATAATAATAATAATAATAATCATAATCATAATCATAATCACAATAATAAAAGTAATCATCGCAATAATAGTAGTAATAGTAACAATGATAATAATAATTGTAATAATAAAAGTAATTAGTAATAACAGTAATAATAACCGGACAGTGTATTACATGTAAATTTAGTTTTGTGTTTATAATTATTTCGTTTTGTGGTCGTAAATTATCTTCCCTTTGTGTTATGTTTTTATGCGTTTTGTGCTGTGTAATAGCAGTACAACACATATTTTCACGAGGTTGTCTATGTGTATGTTTGTGTGTATGTATGTGTATGTGTCCAAGTGCATTTTGTCCCGCATTTTCAATTCGGGAGCCACGAAAGTTGGAACGCTGGAATTTTGGAAGAATGTCTCCCGCCTACGCGCGACCCGGCAAACTTAAAATCGACTCTCACTTACCCACGGGTACAACGTATGGCACCGCTAAAGTTCTGGTGGGGGAAATTATTATCTCGGGAACCACAAAAGCTAGAAAGCTGGAATTTCGCGGTAATGTGCACTGCCCACGTACAATCCCGCCCTTGGGCATCAGGTGCGGCCTCGTGGAAGTTTTGGCGGGGAAATTATTACCTCGCAAATCATAAAAAATAGGGAGCTAAAATTATACGGTAGTGCCCCCTGCCCAGGTGCAACTCCACAACTTTAAATTCAGTTTCCTCATAAGTCGCGTACGACCCTGTGATAGTCCTGGTGGAGGAAGTTATTTTGGGGCAACTACGAAGGTTAAGAAGCCGAAATTTTGGGTTACTGACCTGTCCCCACGTGCGATCCTGCAAACTCAAATTCAGCTTTCACACACGCCTGGGTCTCAGCGTCCTTTATGAATGTTTTGGTGGGAAGAATTATTACCCGGAAGCCACAAAAGGTAGAAGGCTAAAGATTTTAGGAGGATGTTTTCTGCCCAGACAATGGCCGCACAAACTCAAATTTAATTCCCAGGTGTGCCGAGGTCTCACGCATAACTACATAAAAGTTTTGGATTGAAAATCATTCAAAAGCCAGATAATTAGGGGGTTGATTTTGTAAGGATGCTTACTGTACAAGACTTTAATGGGAAATTTCGCAACTTAGGAACCGGATCATATTATTTTTGCACACACCAAAGTCCAAAGCAGTGAAAATTCTTAGCAGGCAAACCTTTGCTGGACGGAACTGCGCAGAATGTATGATCGCACCGGCTACCCTGCTGCGCGCCGCTATTTATTTATTTTTGTAGCACTTCCGCGCAGCTACATTTTTCTTCACGCTACAGCTTTTTTTGACGCCAATAATTCGTATATTCAGTCAAATAGGGCTTTAGTTGTCTTCTTGCAGGGTATTCAAACACATTCGCCGTTGCCACATCCACTGACATTCGAGTCGACCAAGCTCAGAACACCATCTCCAGTCAGTTCAGAAGCACATCCTTGTGCAGGTGCTCTTGCGGAAT